TATCAATGTATTTGACTTTACAATGAAATATTCTTTTTATCCTGTTCTAGGTAAGAAAGCATGAGAATCTCACCTCTGCTTGGTCATCCTTTAATTCAGTCCTAATGTGCTTTTTCTCAGTCTTCAAAACAGGTCCTCCTCTTTCCTCCCACCTCCAACTATATCATTTTGCTACACAGAAAACCACATCTTTTCTACTGAAAAAAATTAAAATATATCTCATGACACATTCATTCAATTTCTTACCCCCAATACTGTTGCGTTGAAAATAACCACACTGACAAACAGGAGTCATGCAACAAACTGTAGGATGCAGGATGCTGCTGAAAGTAAAAGATCCTGGCCATTTTATTCTTAGAAGAATTATCCAGTAGCAGTTGTAAGTAGAAGGAGGACAAAGAGAAATGGGTAGGGTGAAACTGGAAAATGTGCTGTATCATCTATAGTTTCAGGGGTCCTAAGTCTGCCCCCAAGGCACTTCTCATTTGCTAGATGACTTGGTATTGTAATTGAAATCAAGATTTAGATCCTCAGCCATGGTTACAATCCTATCAACAAGGCATTCCACTGATCAAATTCTGGGGCCCCTTGTTATATATCAGTAAACGCCCCCCACACCCCTATCCCTGGGCATTTCTGATCATGCCTTGTGATGTATAAGTCAGGAGTAAGTTTATGCATCAGTCAACAGCCCCTTGGGTGTTCCAGGAACCATAACTTACAAAAATGGGGCCAGACAGGCCGCTTAGGATTAGCAGACCAACACATTACTTCCAAACTTATCTAAAACATTTTCTCCATTTTTTTCCTTCCAAATTAACTCAGAGTATAAAATATACATGTCTTTTTTTTTTTTTTTTTCCATGCCTAGTATACTTCCCAGTATGTATTGTGTGTGTGTGTGTGTTGAAAAAATGAAACAACAGCAGATGGACCGTTCAAAACTATTAGCAGAAAGTGAGATGTTTAATATTCTGAAGACTAATACAGATGTGTTCAGACAGATCTGAAATAGAACAAAGTGAAATACTAAATCCTTTTGACTTAGTAAAATTAGTAGGAGTACTTAGCCCTGCTGTCACACCGGGTCTTACGTGACTGCCACGCTGGTCCCGGAGTTAGGAGACACAGGGTCTAATCTCGACTCTGCTACTAGCTGCCATTAGGTTTCTAAACTTCAATAACCTCATCTAAAAATGAGGGGCCTGATTGTCTCTAATTTCCCTTCTGGTCCTAAAAGTCTTTGATTCTTTTATACCTTGTTATTGTATCAAATTGATAGCTAAAAGTGAGCACTTCATTACAAGAATGGGTCAACCTAGGCAACAGGGGATATGTCTCAGGTGGAACTCTGGAAGGAAAGAAAGCACCAAGGACATACTGAGTTTACTTTGTTGTTTTGTCTGGACCAGGTTGTAGTAGGAGACATGACAATTTGAGGTCTGAACTTTAATCTTTGTACTTATTTCATAAAGCAGCAAAGTCAAACAGTCAAGAGGTGGATTTATGTATGAATATATATTAGAAGATCTTGTTCACCATGCAAATAATCTTGTACTTTTATTTTTGATGCAAAAGGAAAACACTGAAGGCTTTTTTATACATAGATTTTCATTTCAGATATCATAGATTTAGTCTGGCTATGGTGAGTACAGGGAAACCAATTAATTTCCCAATGGTTTCAAATAGACTATATAACAGAGTTAATTATCGATTTTGAGTGTGAAAGCTCTTAATTTGCAATTTAATCATTTTCAGTTTTGGCCAAGAAAGATGAGGGAAAGCACTGAGGTTGGGTGGAATCATTGTCCCCTATTTCTCTGAGATTACTAATTGATATTCTCACCCATCACAGACACAAAAACATGACTTTAATTATTACTTGTAAAACTTGTGACATTTCTTTCTGCCACTTAGCTCTACCCTAATGTTTTTCATAGTAAGCCCAAGAAAAATGTGTATAGAGTTCTGCATATTCTATTACTGTTCAGTCCTGCCAGGACCAAGAGAGCATAAACAAGAACCGTATTTCTTCCCTTCTTAGCATATTATGTGTTTCTGTGTAGATCTGAAAGCTGAGGCTAAACTCAGTCCAAACTAGGTATTTCTGATGTTACTTTTATGTGTTGTGTGTATGTGTTATACAATATAGTCTTTAATTAAAAATATAAGTTAGGGCCTCCCCAGTGGCGCAGCGGTTGAGCGCTGGGTTGTGAAGCTACCCGCAGCCTCTGCAGCGCTGGTTCGATCCCCGGCTGCTCCCGGCCACCGGAGGAGGGTCCCACATGGCACGCAGACCTCTCCTGCCACCCGCTGCTCCCCTCAGCAGTGTACCACGGTCCTTCAGCCTGCTCTGCTCCCCGCTCTGGCTCTGGTGAATTCTCTCACCCTCCCGCACTTCTGACTGTACCCAGTGCTTGTATAAATAAATAAATAAATCTTTAAAAAATAATAAAATAAAGTTAAAAATAACAAATAAAGTTAAAAATAAAAAAATAAAATAAAAAAAAATAAAAAAAAATAAAGTTAGCAGACATTTTGCAAGGATTTGTTAGACACCATGGTGGGGGGAGAGCAATATGTCAGGGCACTATTCTAACTGGATTTGTTGATTCAGAACATGTGTGACCAAGATAGTAAGCTTCATCCCCATCTGGAATGCCCTGTTTTAGGGAAATAATATGTTTGATTCAGGTATCCAAATACGAGTACTGTCATCTGCTTTTCCATGAGGAAAATTGGGCAGGAATCATTTTACAAAGACATGTCTGATGAACATGGCAGTAGCAATTTCCCATAAAACAAAAACTACTGATTTGTTTATGTGTCCATCACCATTTATCAGCTGGTCTGTTCCACTACTGAAAATGATGAATTCTTCAGAAGCACAAGTCAAGGAAATGACTCTTACCGTGGTGAAAAGACAGGTGGATGTTTAATAAGTTGTTTTATTTTTTGTGATTCAGAGCCACTTTCAGTTACATACAGTTAATATTTACTTAGTGGCCATTGGGTGTCTGGGACTCTGCAAATGACACAGCTTCTACCCTGGCAATGCAAATGGTCAGATTTGGACAGCTTTGCAGCCAGATTGTTTCATATATTAACAAAATGTACTTAACTAAATGCTACATGGATTTAGCACCTCTCTGGTCAACTTTGGATGGCTAAATGCAGTAAAAAGCAAACCAAATGCTGGTTTAAAACAGGCAATTCAATCACCCTTTAATTTTCCCTTTAAAGTCACTAAGGATGATGTAGCGTGGATTTATTCATTGTTTACTTGAAGGAACTTTTACATCACCATCCCATGGCATTCCTGTCAAATATCCACAAGCCATATAATTTTAAACACCTGTAAAATCCCTCAATCCAGTCCCTTCTGCCCCATGGTAGATGGAATACCAAATAAAAACAAAAACAATTTCCAGCTTCTTCTTTTCCCTAACAAGCACAAAAACCTATTTTAATACCTGAATATTCACTTGTAATGTGTGTAATTTTGTAGTCCTGCTGTAAAGAATATTTTTCCTCCTTGTACAAAGACATAACAGATGCAATTAGAGGATATTATATTGTCATATGCATCAGAGGAATAGAGTTGGTATTAAATCTTCCACGTGGCACTCAGGCACCAAGGTATCAAAAAAGGAATTGGCATTTCTCAAACCCTTTCACCTTTTGACCCCAGGGGTCTTGATCATATTGAAGGGAAGGTATTTGCAAAAGTCAAATGCAGAATGGACTATAAATTGCCTTGGGGAGTGGCCGGAAAGGCAGAACTTGCATCATGTCAGAAGCAAGACCTCTCAAGGACTGAGTAAAGTGCTGATTTTACATGCTTTGTTGATCTTCCAGATACTGTGAGTTTAGGAAAGGGAGATTTGATAGATGAGACAGCCCATTTAAGATTGCAGACAATGGTAGGTGATGGCCTTGAATAACAATGACCAGAGAACTATTCAAGCACTTTCACTTGCAAGTCTTGATTATAGACAAGACACCTACAAATGACTGAAATTTGGAAGTACCACAGCCCATGTTTTAGCAGCAGCTTGGAGCAGCTTTCATAAGGTCATCAACTGCCAGTCTTCATTGTATTAATATTCTAGGCTTCATATTCATTCAGATGAAAAGTAATGAAACTTCAAAACAATGTAATCATATTACAGTATGTCTAAACCTACCTTCTAAGATACCCTCTGTGCTTTGGATAATGCTTTATGTCATTCAATGAGACACTTTTTTATGCTGCATTAGATTAAAAAATCTACCCAGAGAGGAATAGCAATGATTATGCAACTTTTCTGATGGATATTTCTCGAGTCCCAAAATGTGTTCTTCTTGCATGGAATTTTCTTCTCTATAAATAGAAAGAGAAGCTGATTTGGAAGGAAATTAACCTTTGTCTTACACATATGAACTTGTACCTATCCCAGATGTATTTTTTTCTGAGTACCCACAACATGCAAAATAGTTTTACATATATTATTCAGTCATGTCGCAAAGATTTAAGTGCCAGGCACTATTCAAAATGCTACTGATATAGCTGTAAACAAGATAGGCAAACTTCCTTCCTTCTTGGAACTTGCCTTCCATTTTTGGGAGGAAGCAAATAAAAAAGAAAACAAATAAAGATGTATATAGACTGTAATATATATTATAATGGGAATAAGCTAATTATGCCAAATATTTATTGAACATCTATCATATACAATGTACTCAGTGCTTTCAGAACACAAAAATGAGTAACAAAATGAAATTCCCGCCCTCAAGGACCTTACGGAAGTTTAAGAAAGCACAAATCATCATTTTGTTCACATTAAAGTATTATGCATGTGAACATATTTCCTCAGTTTCACCACACCCAGTAGTGGTCCATAAGACGAAGCTACGTATTTTAGTTCATTTTTAATGAAGTCACCAATTTTCATATTAGTCAGATTTCCTTAGATGATACTAGATTAGCAAACAACCTCCAGACTTTAATGATTTACAATAAAGGTTTATTTCTCGTTCACATTGATTTTCCTTGTTCATTCACTGTAGCTTTGTTCATTCACTGTAGCTGTGTTCTACATCCTCTTCGTTTGGGGACCCAAGCAGAAGGTGCAGTCCTCATCTGGGACATAATGGCCTCAGGGCAAAGAGAAAAAGAATAAATGGCAAAATCATTTGGTGTTTCTTAAAGATTTTTGTTTGAAGTGGCCATTGTCACTTTCATCCATATTTTGTTGGCAAAAAAGTCACATGACCCAGCCTAACATGATAGAGAAGGGAAGCATGATCCTCTTAGAGGGTGTGACAACACACATTTTGAACAAATACTACCTTCTTCCACAAAATTGAGGCTGATGTGACATTCAGTAGCAGCAAATGGGAAAGGGAGATTGGGAATGATGGAGTCAGGCTGGAGCACAGCTGGAGACATGTATGTAGACAGGGCTGCATACGATGCTAAAGATGGTCTTCTGTTTGGGGGCAAAGGGAAATTATTGAAAGTCCTGCAGTAGTGGCATGGTGCTATGTTTTAGTTTATACACAGCATTCTGGCAATGGTAAATACAGAAAGAGCAGCTAAGAGGCTATTTCCATAGACTCGATAAATGATGAGGGCATGAACTAGAGCCACACTCTTATTGTAGCTCTGTGAGCGGAGGGCTCAGTTCAGCCATGCCCAGGCTCCTGACCCACAGAGCTGTGAAGTAAAGAAATGTCAGTTACTCTGAAGCAGCAGAAAATGAATATACTAAGTTAAATATGCCACCTTATGTTAAGAGACTAAAGTGTTTTCACAACCTTGTGTAAAATCCCATAAAATAAGTTTTCCAGTATTTCCTTTTGCCGTAAACTTTTCTTCCCAGAGACAAACATGAGATGTTTTCTAAATTAAGATTGCAGATTAACGCACTAGAAGCAAGCTGTGCAGTAGATGGATATAGAACAATGGGACGGATCTCAGTCATAATTCTCATTACTCCTACTCCTCTTCAGTGAACTTGTCTGCATGGAGCAGAAACAAAAGGAACAGGTGCGTCCAGTCGGAGGGGCTGGATCTGCTGACAATCAACACCTCAGGAAAGGAAGCTGGACCAGGAGGGGGTGAAAGCAATGTGAATTTTGTTGAGGAAGCTGAGGCAGAAAATGAATAGAAGGTCATAGAAAGGGAAACAGACAAGGGAAATAGAAGAGAGAATCAGCTTCCATGGTTGTTTGACACATGATTTCATGACAACTTCTAGCTTTTATCCTGTTCCCTAAAATAATTTATCCTTCCAATTAGTATGGGTGATTTTGCCTAGCCAGCAAGCAATGACAGTTCAATTTCCTTGACATTCTGAATTCTACCCCTGCAAGGTTATTAACGGTAATATTCAGCCAGTCCAAGATACCAACGAGGCATCTGTAAAAGCTTCTTCTACAATAGCTTCTTTTATGCTATCGTATATATAGGCTTCATTACAAAGAGCAGCAAGGGGCTTAATATCTGTTGCCTACAACAAAAGGTAATGGCCGTGCAAGAAGAAAGCATTAATGGTTATGTGGAAAGAAGTATAAAAACGTTTAGCAATGTATGAATTCATATCACTTCTACTTACATAAAACACATTTAACATTTCAGTTCTGTTCTAAAGGTTCACTTTAGAGCCAGAATGCAAAACTTTATGAAATTGCTAAGTATTTCAGACTAAATTATGAGTAATTCCTTGGGACATGGTTAAAGATTTGTTAAACACACCACAGAGCAGTTTAAAATGTGCAGTGATTCAATAAGATACAGTAGATACAGTGGGAGTCTTTGATTCATTATTTAGAGAATTATACTTGCGTTATCGTAATTCTTCAATGGTAGGCATATTTCTTGATTACTGTGGTTCATGGTTTTTGGGTAGATGGAAGGTAGCATTGATTACCGATTCAAGATGGAAAAAACATTCTTTACTGAATTCAAAAATCTTTGGTGACCTACTGAGAAAAGACAGAATCAAGGTAACAACCAATATACATGTTTTACCACTGAATGTGATTTGAGAGTCATTTGTGTATTTAAAACACTACTTTTAAAACACTTTCATTCATTCATTCAGAAATGTTGTATAAATGCATATATACTGGGCCTCCCTGGTGGTGCAAAGGGGTTAAGACACAACCTATGAAGCTATCCACAGCCACTGTAGCAGGAGTTCCATCCCCGGCCTGCCAGGGAGCTACCCACATGGTTCAGCAGACCTCCCTGACTCGCCCACTGCTCCCCTAGGCAGTGTATTTCAGTCAGTCTGCCTGTTCTGTGCCCCACTCTGTCTCTGGTGAATTCTCTTACCCCCCCCCCACACACACCTCTGACCTGTACCCAGTTCTTGCATGAATAAATAAATGAAGAAAGAGAGAGAGAGAGAAGAAGAAGAAAGGAAGGAAGGAAGGAGAGAGAGAGAAAAAAGAGAGAGAGAAAAGAAAGAGAGAGAAAGACAAGAAAGAAAGAGAGAGAGAGAAAGGAAGGAAGGAAGGAAAGAGAGAGAGAGAGAGAGAGGAAGGAAGGAAGGAAGGAAGGAAGGAAGGAAGGAAGGAAGGAAGGAAGGAAGGAAGGAAGGAAGGAAGGAAGGAAGGAAGGAAGGAAGGAAGGAAGGAAGAAAGAAAGAAAGAAAGAAAGAAAGAAAGAAAGAAAGAAAGAAAGAAAGAAAGAAAGAAAGAAAGAAAGATCATCCTGACACATATTACAAATGTTAGATTAATCACATTAATGATCTTGTCAAAAGATCTTTACCTTGGTGAAAGTTCAGTTATGAAGGGTAGCAGAATTAATCACTACTTCTTTTGCAGGCTGTGTGACTTACCTCCTTAGCAAGTGTAGTCAGAAAGGAAATTTAGTTGGCCAGTAGGTTAAAGATGTTTGTGCTGCTCTTCGACAGTATGTAAAATGAAGGAGGTTGGTGTTCAGAAATACAGGACTGGGGCTGAATGAGAATACATCTGCAGAATCTCAGTGTTCCATACCTTGTACAGCTACATCAGAAGATCTGAATCTAATATGATGTCAGGTAGGTGAAGACTCAGTAGAAAAAGTTTCCCCTCTGGACAGGACTAGGAAAGAAACGATCACAACTAATGAACTGCTGGTAAGGAATATGCATCAGTATCTAGAGGAAATTTTACCAAGACTGAACTAAGATCACAGGCTAATTGTGGGAATGGCCCAGTGAGTGCCAGTTCTCACAATGATACAAGTGATTTGCAAACAACAAGCTGTTGGGGGTAAGGGGGAATCCCTATCATTCCCAGTGACTTCCTACATTTGAAAAGCTTTCAAACCAGAGAGCACATTTTTCTTGTGCTCTATCTAAATTCAAATATAGTATATACCATTTCTAGTACAACTTTTCAATCTATCCTTAAGATATTTGCCATAGAAGATAGATGAATTTTTTTTCCTTTTCAGTTTTCTTTTTTTTAAGATTTATTTATTTATTTATACAAGCACTGGGTACAGTCAGAAGCATGGGAGGGTAAGAGAATTCACCAGAGCCAGAGCGGGAACAGAACAGGCAGACTGACGAAGTACACTGCTGAGGGGAACAGCGGGCGGCAGGAGAGGTCTGTGCGCCTCGTGGGACCCTCACCCAGCAGCTGGGGATCGAACTAGCACTGCAGAGGCTGCAGGCAGCTTCACAACCCAGCACTCAACCGCTGTGCCACTGGGGAGGCCCGCAGATAGATAAATTTTAAAGAAATTTCTGGTTACCATCTTCAGAAAAAATCTCAGTCCTCTACCTTTTTAGGAACTATTATTTTCCCTACCTTTTCACCATCTCTCTTTTTTCATCTCTGGACACCATCCAAGTTACAGACTTCTCTTTTAACATACTGAAATTAAAATTTGTACAATTTTCCGGCAGGCAGAGGTACTGGGGGGCTGGGAGGCTCCCAGCCCCCAGCAGGTCTTCATTCTATGGGCTCTCCGGCCTTCTCTCTGTTTCTGCTTTTCTTGCTTCTCTCTTGGCTTCTCTTTTTCAGCTTCTGCTGCTCCTGGCATCCCCGTGACACCACCCTTAAAAGCACAGTCTTAGCCCAGGTGAATCCCATCTACCTATGCCCACACCTTATTCCAGGAGCCCGCCAAAAGGCATGCATTCAGGACCGCAAGGATCCATCATCTATCCTGATGGAGGGAGGGCAGAAAAGCCTGACATTTTTCCTTACCCTACAGTCCACCCCCTCAGGGTTTTCTGCCAGATAATCTACATATATATACAATTTTCTTAGCAAACATAAACAATGCAGCCATGGCCCACAAAAGCAAATACATCACAATATAGCAAAATACAACAGAACACAAATAAGTCCAGGTAGGGCCCCAACCTATGCAAAAGACAATTATTGGTACCAGCAGATGAACCACTACATCTGCTGCCAAAGGCACTGCTCATACAAGGGAGGGGAATCACTCACGGCATCTACTGTAACACACCAGGAGCCGTCGTGCTTCCTGGCCTTCTCTGGCTGTAGTCTCGGCTACAAGCCACACACCGCATCCACCCGCAGGATGCACTCAGTCTGGGATTGGCGATTCTATTCTGTTGGGGGTAATCACCAACCCTCAGGGTTTCTGTCTGCAGTCTCTCCAACATTCGGCCTTCATAGCCACCAATGAAACTCGCAGACACCTGCACTCAGGCCAACCCACTGCACAACACATGGGTCAGGGATCCAAACTCTACATTCTGCTTGGGCTCCACCCCAAGCCATGTTCCCCACCCATCCCCCAAGGACGGATTCCTCAGCAACCCACCCTCACTCGAGAATAAGCAGGACATCACCCACAGGTGATTTTACGAGACTCACAGGTCTTCAGCATACTCGGGCTGCTTAACAGCCGCTCAGGGCTTCTCAAACTCAGCATCAGTACCAGCTTTTGCCTTCTCAGTTGGCTTTTCTCCTCCACCTAACTGCTGGGCATACACAGGCTGCTTTTTTGCCTACTGGCCACCCCTAGATTCCCATCTCCTGGGGTTTACAAACAAAACTGTTCCATCCCCAGGGTCCCAAAAATATATCAACCTGCAAGTTCCTCCGCCTTCTGGTGGGATTGTCAGTCCAACTCCATTAGCCCAAGTCCATCAGACCTCTCCCTGCATCAGCACTGGAGAGCTCTGAATCATGGTCCTCTTTTCGCCGATGATTCTGCTGCCTCAGGGGTCATTGACTGGTCCTCTCGGGCATCTCCTCCTCCAGCTGAGGTCTTGTCCCGCAGCTCCCAGACGGTGTCCACCTTCTGTGCCTCCATGGCGTCTCCGGCATCGTCACAGTCAAACACAGTCTGTTACTCCTTAGTCCTTCCAGGTCTTCGGAAGGCTCCATACCCGTCTGCATGGATCATCCTGCCGACTACGCCAATTGTGAGAGGCAGGAGTGGACACAGTGCAGGTTTTCTAGGATCCCATGCAGACCGGGTAAAGGAGGAGTCAGAGTCCTCAGTGGTTTTTGCAGGTTTTTATTGGGATTACCAGGTACACGGCAGGCAGAGGATGGCAGGCCTCCCAGCCCCCAGCAGGTCTTCACTCTATGGGCTCTCCAGCCTTCTCTCGGTTTCTGCTTTTTTTGCTTCTCTCTCGGCTTCTCTTTTTCAGCTTCTGCTGCTCCTGGTGTCCCCGTGACGCCGCCCTTAAAAGCACAGTCTTAGCCTAGGTGAATCCCATCTACCTATGCCCACACCCTATTCTAGGTGCCCACCATCAGGCATGCATTCAGGACCGCAAGGATCCATCATCTATCCTGATGGCAGGAGGGCAGAAAAGCCTGATATTTTTCCTTACCCTACAAGTAGCATCTACATTTCTGTGTATTATTGAAACTTCAGGTTCATTGCAGAAAGTCCTTTTTAAACTCAAGGCCAGCAGAGCCTGACCGGACCCTCTTAAAGCGAGTTCAAGTGAGAACTGTGTCTCTGCTTCCTGACCAAAGGAATTAGCTGTGGGTTCTTAGAGAACCTTTGACTCTCTCTAGACATCCTTGACATTGTTAGCTCATAGACAAAGCACTTTAAACAGTGTTTATTTATAGGCTTTCCTTCCAGGAAGTGACAGGAGGCTCCTAAATGCTGCTCAAATTACTGCATGATGAACTGCACATTAGATGATCTTATGGCATTTCTGATATTAACTCCCAAGAATCACTTTAGACATATGTAGCTCCTTTCCATACACCTTGGATAAATCAAATAATAGTTATTAGACTTTACAGAATTTAGAACATTCTACAATGTGATTTTGTGCCTCCTTTTCTCTGGCACAGTAATCAAGCTGCACAGGGATATAGCATTCACAGCCCGAATGGGAAAATAGATCCCAATTATAGAGGCCTTTTACATTTGTTTTTACTTATCCCTAATGGTCATCTGCATGCATTGATGGTTGTGATATATTTTTAAAAATCACAAGATGTTTATATTCCTTTAAGATGTTCTGACAATGGGATTGAAATGAATCCTTGATTTAAATATTGCACAAGTACTAAATGTTTTACAGGGGTGATTACAGATGGGATTTGTACCCAAGCCATTTTCCCAAAACAAGTTCTCAGCTGCAGGCCACTTAAGTGCAGTTAATTCATTAGAACAAGAACTTGAGTTAAATACATTAGTGACGAACTGTTCATCTGTAATAAGGCTGACTCATGCTGGTAATTTCTTGCATAGTTATTATTCAACGTGTACTCTAGAGTCCTCGCCGAAGGAGAGCAAAACAATGAGAAATGCAGCTTGTCTTTTAGTATCTGGGTTTAAGACTATCTTTCCATGATGATGGCCTGATTTGTGCTTCTCAGTCTTACACCGCATAGACAGAACAGGCTAAGCACGTCTGTGATACTAGACCACTCAGGGAAGGCTGGAGACCCAGGAAATTTAGGGAACAATAGTAGAGGATGGTGGGGTTATTTTTAAAGACTCATGTCTTCAACTCTGGGGCCTGGAAATTATCTCTTTACAACAAGCCCTCCTTAGAGCCAGTGTCTCACCAGCAGTCTCTTATTCCCGAAGCAAATGAATTAATTTGGCAGTTGCTACTCCTCTCCCCAGACCAATCCTGTGCTCTAATTGCCTATTTCCTCCTTCCTGGTTTGGAACATAATACCTTCCTATCATTCCCATATTAAATCAAAGCACGTGTCAGCATTTGGTGGCTTCTAACAACTGTCCTCATTTATTCTACTATCCTACTGTCCTCCCCTTCCCCCACAAACTTTCCACCCCAGAAATAGATTCAAGTCACTCTCTCCCTTTGCTCTATGATCCATCTAGAGAGCTAGTTTCCCAGGACAAGCTTCCAAATCTTTTTTTTTTTTCTTCTCAGGTGTTGTGCCTGTATTCAAATGTACAAAGTAATAATGACCCCAACAAAGTACATTTGTAAGAACCCCATAATTTACCCTTTAAAGTCAGGGCTTTCCTTGTTAGTGGCTTTTAATGCACTTGAAGTCTCTCTCCAGTCCTGATCAGATAGTTAGAAATGTGTGTACTGAGGGATCCTATCATCAATCAACACACGTTGCATTACCCAGGTCTAATATCCAATCTTAAAATAATCTTACCATTCCTCCTAAAATTTAACAATAAGAAAACACTATGTAAAAATAATTCTAGAATGAAGACTTAAACAGGATGTTCATATTGAATTTAAATGTGTTAAGAAGTCAGCATACAGTACAGTAGAATCAAATCAATAGTAAGCATCAAAACACTACCTGGGATCCTCCTTTAAAATACTTAAGGAGCTGTACTTGAGGAATATGTCTGAGAAGTTATGTTCATTCCTTGATTTCATTTATATGACAACGTCCTGGATTTCAGTCATTAAACGTGTTCTTGGGAGGACAGTAAATATATCTTGTATGCTACAGAAATATAAGTAAGTTGTAACCAGAGTAAAAAATGCATTGTTTTTAAAACATTCTTGTGAATTCTTGATGTGTCTTAATACTCCTTCTTGAGTGTCGGAACTTAGTGACTCATTTATAATGGAGTTAGGTGGAAGTGACAGAGTGTGACTTCTGTGATGAGGTCATAAAAGGCATGTAGCTTCCTCTTTTTTCTTTCTTTTGGATTGCTTGCCTGAGGAAAGGCAACTGCCATATTACAAGGACACTCAAGCAGCTTTATGGAGTGAGAACTGAGGCCTTCAGGCGAACACCACTGAGTGAACTTAGAAGCAGTTCATGTGCAGCTTTAGTCAAGATTGCAGAGTGCTGAAGCCTCAACTGATATTGTCGCATCTACTTCATGAACGATCCTCAGCCAAAACTATTCAAATGTATGATCTACCAAAATGAAAAAAATAATACATTTTTGTTGCTTTAAACCACAAAGTTGTGAGACCAACTGTTATGTACCAACAGATAACCACTGCAAGATTCAACACCTCCCTGCAGACTCTCAGGAGCTCTGATCCCTCCAGTCTCTCCCTGGTGTATGTGCATGTGTGAGGGGAGCCAAGGCATAATTCCAGGGCTCATGAAGGGTGCCATTTCTAATGATTCCGTCTGGCTTTTGGCTTCTTGTCGTGTTTGCTGAGCCAGCCTGCCACTCTGTGCCCTTTGATTGGTGAGTTCAGTTCACTGACATTAAGGTGATTACTGGTATCCAACATCTTGCTACTCTCATTTTAGCTTTAATACTCTGGTTCTGTTTTCTTGTGCAATTATTTGTGGACTTTCATCCCTTTGATTTAAATACTGGAGCTGTTTTCAGTATTTCTTAATGGGCAGGTCTAGAGTTGGCAAACTCCTTCAACTCCAACTTATGTCTGGGAAAACCTTCATTTCTCCTTCATATCTGAAAGAGAATATTTCAGGATATGATATTCTTAGTTAGCCATTATTATCTTTGAGTATTTTATATCATTCCTTTCTCTTGATGCTCATAGCATTTCTGTTGAAACATCTGATGAAAGCCTAATAGGTAACTCTCTTCTTCCCCCTAGCCACCTTCAACTTTGTTTCTTTGTCTTGAATGCTTGGTAGTTTCATGAATATGTGCCTTGGTGTATGTCTCATTGCATTTAGATAACTAGCTGTCCTTTTAATTTGATGGACTTATATATTTATTTCCTTTCCCCAAGTTTGGTAAATTTTCCTCTATTATTCCTTTGAATAAGCTCTCTGGACCCCTCTTTCTCTTCCCCTTTGAGTTTACCCATTAACCACATGTTGTCTTTCATCATGTTTGGGTAGTGTTCAAAATATTTCTTCATTCTTTTAAAAATTCATACATCTCTCTCTTCTACTATCTACTGTGCATTACTGTTTTTAAGATCACTAATTTAATCTCTATTCTGCTTCCATTGCTTTTTCTAGAATTTTAAAATCTCATCTATTGAATATTTTGCATCCTTAATCTGTTATTATTAATAGCCTTAATTTCTACTTTCATTGATTTTGTTTCTCAGGTCATTCATTTGTGTTTTTTATAATAATGTGTATCTCTTTGATTAGCTTTTCTGAGTTTTCTTGTAGTGCCTTGACTTACCTTTCTGCATTTTCCCTATCTCTTTGATTTTCTTTTTTATGAATTTTTTATGACTGTACCTGATGCAGAGATAAAAATTTTCCATTTCTTTGTGCTTGGAGTCTAGAGAATTATTCTCTCCTTGTGATATCATATTCCCTTGATATCTTAAGGTACCATGTGTATGTATTTTTTGTCTGCTAATTCTGCTGCTTCAGATTTCCCTATTTAAAAAAAAATCTGCACCATAACTTAGAGAGTTGAACTGCTTTTTTATTTTCTAGCCGGTGGCACTGTGGTTTTATTTGATTCTAGTTTTTGTTTGTTTGTTTTGTTTTTTGAGGTCAGGGGAAGATTTATTACTCATGTATGAGGTCCCAGATAGTTTTAGGTTTTTTTTTTTTTTTTGCCTCTCCTGGTTTCTTCAGGTATGAAGACCTGCTCTTACAGTTGTTGAGTCAGGGGTAGTGGGAGTTTTGTGCAGCACTGGTGCCAGTGCTAGTGTGGGGAAGGGCTGGCTCTTATTGTGGTACTGCAGATATATTTCGCTCTTCTCTGGGAGACTCTATAGTGTAAGCACTTTCATTGTGCTTCACAAGGTCAGAACTAATCCCAAAGGGTGAGGAAGGGGTGCAATCCAACACACTGTATTTATTGTAACAAATAGCCTGTGGAGTGCATTCCAGCTAGTTCCTCTGCACATGTTTCCCCTGAGTCAATAGTGTGAGTTTCCATACCATGCAGCTCTTCCCTCCCTAGGGCTACAGACTGGGCTGATGGTTGCTTCTGTTACCCTTGCCTCAGACCAGAGCTTCCTGGCACTTTTCTCCATCCACTTTAATGAAGGATAATTCTCCACTATCTCCATCTCTCTGTCACAGTCTATATTGATCTCCCATGTCAAGGGGACTTCCAATTTCTCTCTAAGCTCCAGGACTCTCTGGGTATAGTCTCCCTCTAATTAACTGTTATCTGATCCACTTGGGAGAGAAGCAAGGAATCTCCTTTTCACACTCATGATCCAAGAGATGGAGAAACTGCTCAACTATTCCAGGCTCAAAGAAACACTGTTGAATAGTTTTGCTAGTCCGTGTACTCAGCAGTGGTCACAGTTATCAAAAGAGGTATTTTGTTTCCTATTTTCAATGAACTTTTTGGTTTTCTATGTAAGTTTTAACTTATTTAGACAATAGTTGACCGTAACAGTTTGACTGTTGCCTTGTCAAGGAAAATTTTTTGTGGCATCTTCCACCATAGAAGAAATTCACAGTTTTCCATTAAATACCACGCAGACCCTTTTGACCACATTGGTAAATTCTATCAAACAGTTTTGGAGGTTGGAAGTCCAGGATCAGGGTGCCACGTGGTTGAATTTTGGTGAGAGCCCTCTCCCAGGTGGCAGATTCCTGAGTAGTTTTCATAACCCCATCTTTGTGAGTAGAGGAGAGGTGTATGTTAATAGCCTCTTTCTATCTAATACTACCTCTGTCCCTTTCAATCCATGCTGACATTATTTCTGATGACATAATTCTTTAAAAAAAAATCTTTGTGGGTCTCCTGTGAATAAAATTGAGTTCCAATTCATTAGATATATCTACACCTATAATTCAAGGTAAGTTCTTCTCTATGTAGGACTTCTGCTGAGAGGCAGGTTGTTATACATCTCAGAAGCCACAGTTTATGATTAAAGGTTCTCTAAGACATACAGGTCTTTAGAGAGCCTTCCCCCCCACCCCCAAATCAGTGGTATTCTATGACAGCACTTTTGATCCTTCTGAAATCTTAATAAGAGATTTTATAGCTACACCTCTGCTCTTCAACATTAGACCTGGCAGAGTTCTTGATTTGATATTTGTACAGAAGCTATTTCTTAATTTTAGCATCTTTTACCATCTGGAAAAACTGGTGATTTTTAAAGCTGAACACTAGCTTCTTTTTGTTTAGCAAATCTTCATAAGCTTATCTCTCCTCTCACATTTCACTATAAGCAGAAGGAAGGAAATAAGCAGCATCTTCAACATTCTGTATGGAATTACATTACCTTCACTTTACCACTTTTAAATCATTTCTCCCACCTCACTCAGCTCATTGTCATTTCCAACTTTCCATATTTTGTACACGACATTGTTGCTAAACTGCCTACCCCTACATAACAAAGATACTTTCCATTTCTAATAAGATAGTCCTTATTTTCATTTGTGTCTTAGTAGCAATCTTCTCAAAATACCCAACTTTTTTTGTTTTTAAATATTTATTTATACAAGAACCAGAGTACAGGCAAGATAGATGTGCAGGAGGGTGAGAGGATTCATCAGAGGCAGAGCAGGGAACAGAACAGGCAGACTGATGAAATACACCGCTGAGGGGAGCAGTGGGTGATACAGGAGAGGTCTGCTGTGTCATGTGGGATTCTCTCAGGCCGGACAGGATTGAACCCGCGCTGCAGAGGCTGCAGGCAGCTTCACAGTGTGGCACTCAACTGCCGGCGACACTAGGGAGGCCCAAAATTCCCAATTTTTAGGAATAATCTGTTTAAGGTACTTAAGCTCTCATATCATTCTCTTCAAATTCCTTCCAGTTTTCCTCACTATTTAATTCCAAAAACACTCCACGTTTGATGGTATTTATAACAGCCTTCATTTTCAGGTACTAAATCTATATTTGCTATTTATTCCCACATAACAAGTTATCCCAACACTTTAAAAAACAAATATGTATTATCTCACAGCTTCTGTGAGTCATAAATTCAGGTGTGGTTTTAGGTGGGTAGTTCTGGCTCACACTATCTCATGAGGTTTCAGTCAAGTCCAGGAGGATGCCAGTTAGGATGTCCTAACTGACATCACGTGGTTTCTCTTCTGTCATATATATCAGAAGCAAATCACTGTCTAGGTCCAACTTAAGAAGAATGGTATTAAGTCCCACCTTTTGAAAGAATTGATAAATTACCAGAAGTCTGAAGCTATTTTATAATTGGTATTGAAACCATATTATACCTAAGAAATAATGCTATAGGAAGATGATGACTATGTTTCTATAATCAGAATTTGTCTAGGCGTTCAACTACCAATAAACTCTACTTAGAGAATCAATGAAAAATTCATAGCCTTCAGCTTTTTAACTTACAGTAATATTGGGCATAACTGATCCGTCCATTCTCATTGCAACACTTTCTTTATTTGAATTCCAGGGTTTTTTCCTGCCCATAACTAGCTACTTGTTTTCAATAACAGGTACCACTTTCAAATCATTTCTCCCACCTCAAAGCTTTGTAGTTCTAGAGTTCATGCCTCATTTTTTTTTTTTTAAATCTATGCTCAATCCCCTAGTGGCCTCATGTAATCTCAAGGTTTTAAATATAATGTGCACTTTCAACTGCCAAGTTTATTATCTCCTTTGTGTAGCTCCTCCCTTGTGCTAGATGCATATGTAACTATTTCTTTACTTAAATATCTAATAAGTATCATTAACTTATGTTAAATCTTAACATTTGATCTTTACCTAAGTCTTACTATATCT